ATTGGAAGAATTAAAACCAGGAAAAAAAGATAATGATAAATAATAATAATTATTATAATTATAATATAAATAATGAAAAGAGAGAATTTTTTTTGGTAATTCTATAATCAATTTTTTAAAAGTTATTAATCTATCTTTTTCCTTTCTATGGCTTTCTCATTATTGTATCTCTTTTTGTTTTCTATATTTCTTTGTTTAAAATCAATTATTTTTTTTTGTTCATTACCTCAACACGATAATAATAATCGCATTCCCAGATATATTTCTTTCTTATCAAATGTATATAATATCTTTTTATATCAGAGGTTGGACATGTATAATAATAATAATAATAATAATAATAATCATCAAATCCCCACAGCATCGTTCCCTCGAAATCTGTTCCTTTCTCTTTTCTTTTTTTACAAATATGTTATGTCTTGTTTCATTTTGTTTTGTTTTGTTTTAAAATCACACGCTTATTTTTTTCTCTTCCTTTTTTTTCTTTTTCAAAAAAGATTTCATCTTTTCCTCTCTCTCTCTCTCTCTCTCTTTCTTTCTCAAACATACACATATCATTCTCTCTCTCTCACTCACGCATTCACTCTCATTGCTGTGTTTTTTTTTAAACTCTAGATTAATAAAATGGTACAGAGACATGTTGGACATTGGCACGACAGGTGGCATTTATAGATCTAATAATATAGAATAAAATTTACGTTATTGCGATAACATTTGGTATCGTTGCGTCGTTGCCCCATTTTTTCTTTTCCCCACCCCCCCTTCTTTTTTTTTTTCTTTTATGCTACTGTCCTGGGTTGGTAATTACTTCATTTTCTTCTTTTTCTTCTTCTTTTTCTTCTTCATTTTCTTCTTTTTCTTTATATTCTACATTTCATTTGCATTGCTTCATCCCTTAGGTTGTGGTGTATTTATCACTATCATTATATCATCATCGTCATAAATCTTGCGTTTATTCAGAGATCAGAGAACACATTTGATTAGGGCAACGACGTCAATAATGCTTTTTGTTTTCTTTATTCTGGTTTTTACTTTTTAATTAAGATTTATTTTATTTTATTTTACTTTATTTTTATTTTTACTTTTATTTATTTATTTATTTATTTATTTTAATTAATTATTTCTTGCATACTTTTTATTTTCTCCCTTTTTTCTTCTTCTTCTTCAACTTTTTTCCATTGCAAGCAGGCGAGAACGTTTCTCATTCGTTTTTTAACCCCCTCCCACCCTCCCAAACCCTTTTTATTTATTTTTTCTTTTTTTTTTTGCATTTTTTTTTTGTATTCCCCCGGCCATTGGCGCCGGTTCTTTTTTTTCTTCTTTTTGTGACTTTTTTTTTTCTTGTTTTTTTTTCTTGTTTTTTCTTTTTTTTTTTATTATTATTATTTTTTTATTTGTTTGTTTGTAATTCATCTTTTGATTAGATTCGTACAGTCTACATTTGATACTCGCTGCAGTCTTCATCGTAACTGTCCAGCAAAATTTGAACACCTCTTTGATGAGATTTAAATCAAAGAACTTTGTCCCGTTTCTTTTCATTTTCTGCGTATATATATATACATATATATATATTCCATATTATTTTAAATCAGATTTATTATTTATTATATTATATCTTCGATTAAAATTACGATTTTTCTACGATCTCCTAAACTAACAGTTTCATCTTCCATTTCATTGATTTATTTATTTATTTATTTATTTATTTATTTATTTATTCATTCATTCATTTATTTATTTATTTACAAAATAAATAATATATTTTTTCTTTCATTTGACATTTTCGCGTTAAGTATTTATAGTAAAAAACTAAATTCATTACCCACCATTATAATCGTTATAATTAATAATTAATTAATAAATTATAAATCGATATAATATTGGAGATCGTCGATAAAATCGTTGATTTTATTCAATGATCGGATATATAATACGTCGCGTTTAATTACACACTCACGCATACGTACACGCATTACACACTCACACACACACACACAACCATGATAAAAAGAGACAATTGAATGTGTTCTTAGTTTTTTTTTTCTTCTTCTTCTTCTTATTCTTCATCTTCTTCTTCTTTAAATAAAAGTGGATCACAATTAGTCTCACCACGTTTAATTATCATCGTGTAAGTCTCTTTAGAATGATCAGACTGTAAGTTTAGTTATTAAGTTTTCTTTTGTCATGTAAAATTAGATATCTAACGCATAAGATCATTTGGCTGTACTTCCATTATACTTTTTTTCTTCTTTTCCTTTTTTTCTTTTTTTATTTGTTTGTTTTGTGACACCTGGTGTATATATGCAATATATATATATTTATATACACGCACATGTGTTTATATATAAATACTTATGTGCGTGTTGTATATATATATATTTATAAATATATACATATGCGTTTATAATCCGAGGCAGATACGAGAATGTGATTTTTACTTTATAGTAATCTTTTTTTTGTTTGTTTGTTTGTTTATTATTATTATGTGATTTTATTTTTTTTTTCTTCTTTATAGTTAAGTAACTCATTAGAATATATTTCTCATCGCGTGAGAGCCCATATCGCAATCATTTATTTATTTATTTATTTAATTATTATTTTATTTTATTTTTAAATGTTAATTGACGTGTTTCGTGAAGACCCCGTCCGTCTATGTTCTTATTTATTCAATTTAATTTAATTTAATTTAATTTAAGTTAATTTAATTTAATGTAGTATTTAATTTAATTTAATTTATTTCATCCATTAATTTTCTTTTAAGATGAATATCAAACGCAAATTTATATGCGTTAAAAGTCATCTTCAATTGAAAATTTGGAGAAATATGTTTGTATGTTTGTTTATATATATATTTCTTATTTGTTGTTGTGTTTTAATGGGACTCCGTATTATACTTTAGAGCCTCTAATGATTTCATTTTTTTTTTTTTTTATATATTACTAACGACGTATAAAAGCAGGTTAATTGTGTTTTCTCATTTAAAATTCTTGCAATTATACAGAGGAACTCAAGCGGGGGAGAAAGTTATATAAGAACTTTGGATTACGAGGTTTTTTTTTTATCATTTACTACTCTGTTGTTGTTGTTGTTGTTGTTATTGTTTACTTGTCCGATCTTAACTCGAGGAGGCAGATCATTCAGAAAGAAAATATGCACCGCTTTTATTGGTAGATATTTTTTTGTTTTGTTTTCTGTTTGTTTGTTGAAACTTTGTTATTTTTTGTTCATTCTTGATACTATTATTAATGATGTGTTCGCCCAAACTTCATTAAATAATGCGCTTGGGATTTTAATAATAATGCGCATTTTCTTCTTTTTACATCGACTCACCTCCCAGAAGATCTCCGGGTAAATATGAGTTGAGAGAACTAGGAGTTGCTCTTTGCTGGTCACTGGTGTCGATACCCGTGTTACTCCATAGTGAATTGGTCGTTGGCGGAGCACCCCATAATTGGCTGGAACTTCCTCCCCAGGTATCAGGAGGTGGACCAGCTTTGTTGGTTGGTCTCAAGCCCCAACTAGCCGCACCAGAACCACCAGCTTGTTGTTGACCACCGCCATGACTTAGTTGTTGCAATAAAGTATGCACTTCGCTGTCTGCAGGTGATTCAGCAAATATCGTTGTATTTCCCAATACACAATTGTTCAAAGCTCCTTGTGCCTGAAATCAAATTAATTATTTCATTATTTCATTTTGTTCTGTTTTTGTTTATCCTGTATATTATTTTTCATCTTTTTTTTTTCTTATATTATTCTTCGTTTTTTGAATAGTAAGTAACGCACGTGACTTGACTGGGATTTCCCTAAAAATTTTCGTGCGCGCTCAACCACGTGGTTAAATAAAATAAAAAAAAAGAAAAACAAGAAAATATCTGAGACACGAGAGATTATTATGCTACCAAAAAAAAAGAAATAATGAAAATAAGAATGCAAAATTTGAAAAAAATCTGATAGTAACAATCGCTGGGGGACTGAATTGCTGGGGCCCATCATAGGCCACACTGATGATTTTCATTTGTTCGAAATAATTGTTCGAAAACAGATGTATAATGATTATTTTATAAATAAATATTAAATTTGTTAAAAATGTATCGATGTAATTGCTATTAAATTTAATTAGTAATAATTAATACTTAAATACCATTCTCATCGATTAATCAAGGAAAAAACTTAATAAAAAAAAAAAAAAATCATTTCCTCCCCACTATAATATGCACCAATCAGGATTAACGTTAAAAGATGGCATGAGTATCATTCGACGATGCTGATGACTGACTTCTACTAGTGTATTAAGGGCATATGGCCCCATTTCGAACGATTATTATTACAATTATAAATTATAGTGTATAATGTATGGTGTATAAAATACCAGGGTAAGGAAGTCTCGTATATTCTCCTAACAAATGATTAGCGAAAAATCAAATAAATAAAAAAATAAATAAAAAATAAATAATAATATATAAAATATATATAAAAATATTTATCGTATAAAGTGTTTTTAGTTTTAGTCCCAGAAATGTGCGGGCGCTGGGAGCGCGTTGCGTGTGAGCAGAGCACCGTACGCAGCAAATGTGTTAACAATATAAAGAAATAAAAAAATACATATAAATCTATAAATTTTTGTATTAACCTTGATATTTGTTATTTTTTTTTATTTTTAGATTGAAGATTTCTTGTAATCTGTTAATTTCTATCAAAAATATATTAAGAATTTCAATTAATTCGTAGCGTTTTACAAGAGATGTCGTGGTTATTTTAGTGTCTTTTTCAGAAACAAATTATTCTTCGTAAATCAGCTGTTATTAGGTGTTATTTTCACCACACATCTTATTTTTAAATTGTTAATAACAACCAATTTTAATTATTTAAATATGCCAATATTTGTGTGCCAAATAAAGTGTTTTTGCGAGGAGTTTTACTGCATTATTTTATTATGAATAAAAGTGTTGCGGAAAGTTCTAGAATATTGAAGGAAGTTTATGGTGGACATGTGCTTTGAAGAGTTGTCTACATCGTTGGAGGTTGATTTATCAACTATAGGAGAACGCCTTAAAGCTTTGGGAATGATCCAAAAGAAAGGAAATTGGATCCCATATGAATTTAAACCGAGGGACGTTAATAAAAGGCGTTTTTTTACCAGTGAATTATTGTCATTTTTTTTTTTTTTTTTTTTAAACTTCTTTTTGAACTATCTTATCCCTTTACGTCGTAGGTCTTCTCTTTTCTCCTCTTTCTCTTCTTTTCTTCTCTCTTTACGTCTTTTATAATCCCGAACGCGCTGCTAAAAGAGCTTTTGGCTGCTTTTACAAAATTAAAAATATCTTAAAAAAGTAAAAAAAAATTGATATTACCTTTATAGCTTCATCTCTAGACGAATATTTGGTAAGAGCGATTCCATGATTCAGATATAGACGGAAATCTTGCACCGGTCCATGTTGCATGCACAATGTCTTCAAAGTTGAACCATCGATTTGTGGAGTCAAGTTTCTCAATAATAACCAGGTAGAAACCCAACTAGAATTACTAACAGGATTTGATTGAAGGCCACCCCAGGAACTGGATGATTTAGTGACAGTTCCTAAACCAGCCCAGCCATTACTGGTGCTACCAGCACCTTTACTTCCTAGGCCAGGAGGAGGACCTCGTGCTTTACTCATCGGTGCACCCCAAAGTTCTGAGGTAACGGCAGTTGGTGGTGGTGCTGACTCCCATGTATTTTTCGAACTACAATAATAGAATTCGATATTTATCAACGATGTCCGCTAAACTTTCGAATTACGATTATTTTCTAAGAAATTTCATTTAAAAATTTGTAAAACTCTAAAAATTATAAGAAATCAAATCTTTTTAAACAGACCAAAATAAAATTTAACTTCACCAATTTTAACATTTAATTATAATATTAAATATATTCTCGATCGAAATAATAAATTAAGAAATCTTACTTAGTAAATGCAGTAGGCGTTGTAGCGGGTGGGTTAAATGTCCATGTAGAATTACTTAAACTTGGAATCGATGTATCCGGATTAGGATTTTGCGGCGGTGGTGAAGTCTTGCTACTTGATGAAAATATAGCATCAGGATCCTTGATAGCAGCTAGTGATAGGGGAGAGCGTACGACTGAACCAGGAGTGATACTGGGATCATCTTCGATACTTTTCATCTGAGTACCCTAAAATGACATCAAATATAGGTGGACCCGGATAAATCTTAAAAACTAATGTTTTGCGGTTAACTAATAATACTATAATATGGATAATGATATATAATGAATGATATTAAAGCAAATGATGTTATATAATGATAATAAATTGACGGTATTGGGAATGGATTACCCTCCATGGTTTGCCAGGTTCAAATTCCGGTACGAGATCAGTGAACGCTGCACCTCCAGGTTGCCAATCTTTTGCATCTGAGGAATCTGAATTCCCTGGATCTGGCCAACCACTATCACCAAGTCTAGATGACCATGTTCCATCGCTTTGACCTAGCAGAGAATTCATATTGGGGCTACTGTGCGATTGTGTTAAACCACCAGGAGCTGTCGGCTGTTTGCTGGTAGTACCAGGAGCACGAGAAAACTCATTTCCTCCTATATCACCATCCTTGTCAAGAGATGGTAATTTCCATTGATTTAATCTCGATTGTTGTTGACTCTACAAATTATTATTCAAATATCATTGTTTAATTATACTTATATCTATACTTATTTGAATTTATTTTTTTAATACAACAATTAATACTAACAACTGGTGGTTCTTTGTTCATTGTCAAATCACTGAAGCTGTTTTGTAAAACTGACATGGGATCATGTACAGAAGTCTTGTAATACTCTAATGTCTGAGATGGTGGGGCATTATTAACGGCATGTTGTTGATGTTGTTGTTGTTTCATATATGTTGCTTGTTGTACAGCTATTTGATTTTGCAAGTTAGCAATTTGTTGCTTGGTTTTGGTTATTTGTACACTTATTTGCAAAACTGATGGACTGTTGCCCTTCAATGAACTCTGGACAGAATGTTGCTGGTGCAACTGTTGCAAAATCTTAATTTGTTGCAACAATTGATTTAGCAGAATCAATGTTTGTGGTGATAATGCTTGATTCAATATCTGATGATTTAAATATCCTTCTTGGGCAGCCAACTGAATTTGTTGTACCAACATACGCAATTGTTGATTCGATGGTTGATTTTGTGGTGCACGTGATGCCTAAAAAATGATATAAAAAAGATTGTAAAATTTATTTCATTCATTTGAATGAAATCATAATTAATATATAAATATAATATATCTTAAATAATAATCAAATTACTACATAAGACAACGAATAAATTAAATTGTTAATTAATTCTAAGATTTATAAGTACAATCAAACTTCGTGCAATAAAACAAAAAAAAAATGTAATAGATGAAAAAAAATAAATAACTACACAAAATATAACAACACTCTCTAAACATGTTAAAAGATGACGCACAACGTGAAATAATAATGACGTAAATAATAAACGTAATACAATATAATTGTTTCAATATACAATTTTGGATATGTACAATGCTTATTTATAATTTCCAATAAGCAATATAATTTCCACAAAGCAATTTCACTTTTATAATACCTTGATCTATTTTTTTTGTGTATTTTTACCATACTACAATCTAATTTAATCTAATAATAATCTTTACGCCACTTGTATATTTATATAGCTCATCCGAGCTGTTACTGTGAAATTTTTAACACGTAATTGTTTAACCTTATTAACGATAATTTAAACGATAATTGTGTTTAACCTTAACTCTAACAGTAGGCATTAAAAATATAAACATTTAGCAATAATGACAAAACATAAAGCTCGACCATTATCAGAATGGCCTACAAATTTTCTTTATTGTGAATTCTCTTACACAAAAATTAAAAAAAAGTAATCAAAATGATGCATACATAAATAGCAATGAAATACATGTAAGATTTATGAAAAATTAAATCGCTGGACTGACTGAACTGGGACTCGAATTAGGGATCTTCTTATTTATTGAACTATTCAGGGCCCACCATCCAATTTTCCCACAAATGATTATTTAAATATTTGGCCATAGAGAAAACACATCGTCCCACATATACAATACGATAAACACACTATCTACACATTTTTATTCTATTGATATAAAACATAAAAAATAAAAAATAAAAAGAAAAAATAAAACAAAACCAACTTGAATATATTTATATTTCATTTTTCTAAATTTAATTACGAATATAATAATAAAAAAAGAAAAAAGAAAATACAAAAATATAATAAATGAAAATGAAAATACAAAAAGAAAAAAAAAGAAAAAAAGAAATAAAATAAAATACATCAAATTGCTAATTATTTCAGACATCAGGTTGTTTTCACCTGGTTGAAAGGTGGCTGCGGTGCATTGGTACTCGGTTGTTGTTGCTGCAGTGGAACTGTTTGCTGCTGTTGCTGTTGTTGAAGCTTCAGAAGACTAGCACTGGACACTGAACCACCTACCCCTCCGGTAGCCGCAGCACTGGGCACTCCTGCCCCCTGTATTACAATAGAAATACCGTGTACCCTACCTTTCTTCCTAACTCTATCCATATATATCAGTTTGATAATATATTTAAATACCATTACTTATATGTTTATAGTTCAATTATTTCTTTATAATGAATAAGCCAGAAAACAAAAAAGAAAACAGCAAAATATCTTTTATAATGTAATCCTCTTGTTTGCAAAAATTAAATTTAAATGAAATTGAAACACACGTATAAACGTTACAGTAGCACACTCATAACGGACAAAAAAAAAAAAGAACACGTGAAATTCACAAACTTCAAAAAGAACTTGAAGAGACTTCTTCAATTTCCTAAAGAAGTATCACTTCGAAAAGTTACATTTTCATTAGTTAAAATGTTTTTATTTACGAAAAGCAAAAATATTTAATTAGAACAATCACTGCATATTGTTAATTGAAAACTAAAACACTCAAAACAAAGAATTTCATCATTAAATTTATTACCAAACATTTGTTTATTTGTTCATGATACTTTTATAATTATTTTTATTTTTTAATAAGAAATAATGAAATGTGTGTAAGTTAAATTAAAAATTAAAACTGTAGCAGATATGTTCGAATAAAATACGTGCTTTGTTTTATTTGATAATTAAATACAAACTTACCGGTGGGAAAGACATCTGTTGTGTCACATGATTGAATCTCGGGTATGCTGGTGCAGTAGTTGGTTGATTAGTTGGATCGTAACCAGAATGTGTATCATGGCGACGTGGCCATTCAAGAGGTCGAATCTGACTTAAAAGTTCTTGCGCTTCTTCTCTATTCATTTCACGATTTCTCAGAGCTAACTCCACATCTTCTTTCTGAAAGACGGATAAATATCAACGAAATTAATATAATATCAATTGGAACAATTCATTGTCTTCAAAAATATTGTTTTTGTTTATAAATTTTAATATATAAATACCTTATATCCTAAGTCACAAAGATAACGAAATTCACGACTATTCCAAATGAAGTCCTTGGTTAATGCAGGTTTAGCAGGATGGCCCCAACTAGGAGTAGGATCAATGTCAGAGTCTACCCAACTACCAGCAGGTCCCATTGATTTTTGTTTATGAGTAGCAGGACCTCCCCAGGTAGCTGGATTTAATGGAGGCTCGTTCCAAGTTGCTGGTGTTTTGGGATCATCCCAAGAGGTAGTATCATGAGGCCCATCTGCCCATGTTCCGTTACTACGTCCACCTGGAGCTCCAGGATGAGCCCACATTCCTGGACCTCCTACATCAGGTTTCATACCTGGTTGCCCAGGCATTCTATTCTGAGGCATGCCTGGTGGACATTGCATACCTGTTTCACAATAATTTACAGTGTTAACAAAATTTTTATATGTACAATTGTGTGATTGTAAAAATAATAATTAATTTCTTAGCTACTGTATGCTTTTCATAGATATCATATTTTTAAATCATTTCCTACAATGCGTTTTATTTGTTTTGGTTTCTAATTTTTGTCGCGCCGAGCAGATTATAAAGTATACTATGAAAAACTGTATCATAACTAAGAGATTAAAAAAAATTGTTATTTTATTATGTGTACAACTTTGTTTCTGCAGTTTTTTTTTCCTAAATTCGAGGCTTTATTGTAAAGAACTGATTGTACATTTATGATTCAAAGTATTGTCCATCGCTGGTCACTCTTTCTCCTATCATTTGAACAACGTACGAATTCCGCGTTGAAAAAACTGTTCATCTTTTGAAGCGATCCACGAATCAATGCAATTTTGTACTTCTTTATAATACCGAAAGTGCTGATCAGTGCACTATTTATTTCGACCACTAACTAACCGCTAAAATACTCTATAGGAAAACAGCGGAAGCAAAGTTGTAGACTTAATATATGTATTAAAATTACCTCCACGTCCAATATTAGGGGTTGGCAAGTCTTTCCAATGTGATACTTTACTAGTAGGCATTGTGCGTTGATTTGCTGCCGGATTTCCCCATAAACTTGTACCGTCGTCATAATTAGGTACATTACGCCTTTGAGTTGGTGGTGATGGTTCTTCCCATCCAGAAGGTTTACCAGGCATCATATCCTTTGGTGGCGGTGCTGCCCATTGATTCATGTTAGTAGGATTGAGCATCTTAGTTGGAGGACCAGATGGATGCTGATGACCCATTTGATGATGCGGAGGACCCGGTGGTTGTCCCCACATTGCATCAGTATTACTACCATTTAATCGTCCTGATATACCACGTGGATCCCCTCGCATATCACCCATCCTTGGATCCCGTGCCATAGGATCCATTACACGCATATGTTCTCGAGGATCATGAGGCATGCGATGATCTCGTGGATCTCGCATCTCTCTTGGATCGACTGATCGTAAATCACGTGGATCTCTATGATCAATTCTTGGATCTGCCCAACTTGTTCCTGTTTATTCAAAGTTTTATCTATGTAATAGTATTTTATACAAATTTCATTTTCAAGATCTTTATAATAATTCTTATATATAGATGTAATATATATATACAAAGTATCCCATAAAACTATTTTTGTCAAATAAATCTTGGAAAACATTCTGTATATATATATTTAAATTAATTATTAATATTTACTTAATTTTTGATAATGCGTGTGAAATTTTAAATATTTTTACAGAGATCATTATATTCGAAATATATTACTTTTAATTATTCGATTATGTTTATTTTGCTGTACTTTCTCTTAAAAATATTCTTATTCATTTTAATTGGAAATGAAAAATGTTTCTACTTTTCACTTTCGATAATATACCAATTACATGCTACATTTAATCAACGTTCCTGAATGCCTATAATGTCTGATAATGAAGTAATTTTAATGAAATTTGACTTTAATTTCTATATGATTAAATTATTTGATTTTTAATTTTTATATAATAAATATAACGTATATAAGAATGGATTTAAAATATTATACAATAATTTGATAATAGAAAATGAATTCTCCATAATTAACAAATGTGTAAATAAAAAAAGAAAAATTCTAGCATAGGCATTAAGGAGTTTACTAATGCTCTCGATAAAATATATAATTCAGCCTAAAAAAAGCATCATTTACAATTTAAAAGCACAGCGTTTGAGTATTTAAAAAAAAAAAAAATAAATAATAAACAGCACAATATTTCTACATGTAAAAGATAAAATTCTAGATTATTAAAAATAATAAATATAGCAAAATAAATTAGTTATTCCCCATAACTTATAATAAAGCTTTGTGAATGCCGGAGTCTCCATACGTAGTTGAACAAAAAAGATATGTATATATATATATATATATGTATATATATATACATAGATAATAGCAAAATTATTTAATAATACAAGCTACAACTTGATACATTTAACATAGTAAAAATTGAGAACTGTTATTTACTCGTTAAATTATTATTATTATTCTCAACTGCACAAGTATAGTTTAAATTTTTGGTGAAATGTGATATACGCATATATACACGTACATATTTTATAATAAAATAAATAATTATGTTTACGTACACAAAATTATTGAATATTACTTGTACAGTCGCTTTAAATATAAAAATCACGAAAATACAAGAAAACAAAAAATTACAAAATGTTCAGTTGGTATGGAAAATTATAATAAAAACATTACACAACAATTGACCAAAACACGATAGCTTTCAATAAGATTCCAAAATATCTTTTCCCTAAAATTTTGGCATCTCCAGCCTTCACTAGCATACCTCCCCACATACCGGCTTGATTACCGGCAGTCCATTGCGCTGCATTCGGTTGAGAGGGTGCTGGAGCACCAGTCCACATATTCGACGTGTCTGTCGTTTCATCATCTTCACCCCAAGTACCACCAATGTTAGTTGCAGGAGTATGACCCCATGGAGTTTTGGATTGTTGATGAGGTGGAGGTTGTCCACCATTTCGTAAATTAGCTTCCCATAAGTCAGTACCATTGTTTACGGATGGTTTCCATAATGGATTACCATCTTTGCCTGAATTCGGCTCAGGAGAACTTGGTACGTCCCAACTCGTATCTTGATTCACATGTTGCTATAAAAACAAAATGATTTTTCTAAATATTATTTCTTTTCTATCTTAAATAATAATATTTATTATTTACTTACACAGCCCCATCCGTCTTGACTAAAAAGCGCTTCCCTCATGGTATTCAATTGTTCAAGCTGTTGCTTAGTCGATGGATTATTATTAGCTGATGAGTTTCCGCTACTCACAGATCCTTGTGCATTGTTATTAGATGGATTGTTACCACCAGTAGAACTTCCCGATTGTTGTTGTTGTACGCTGTTATTATTGTTTTGTGGATTTTGTCCTGGACCACCTGGATTATTAGATTTTCCCTGAGACCATTGACTACTATTCTGATTCCCTTGAGAAGAATTTGACTGAGAGGTAGGTGGACCAGATTGCTGATTCGATTGTTGATTCGGATTATTAACTTTATTCACGTTTCCTGATGTATTTTGTGTACCAGGTGGGCCTTGATTCTGATTTTGATTTGGATTACCAGAGACTGATCTATTGACAGAATTTCCACCCCAATTGCTAGGTGTTCCAGCATTTCCAGGTGCATTTCCTGGTGTACCAACCCATCCTGATTGATTAGTATTATTATTATTAGGTGCAGTAGCTTGCGTAGAACCCCAATTAGTAGCTCCTCCACTATTTAGCGAACTTTCACCACCTCCTGCTAATTGTAATATCGTTGAAATACCCCATCGTTGTTTGTAGCTTAATATTGGCTCGTAAATCTTGTTTAATTGTCGTATTGATTTATTGAAATATATATTCAATAAATACTTTAGTTGTCCCAATAGATCTTCATGTTTTGTTCCGTCCATTTTATATGCTTTTTGATAAGCACATATTAAATAGCGTAGATACGATATTAAAGTAGACCATTGTAAGTCAATTGATTTGGAATAAATTTTCCTAATATCGAAATCGCAAACATTAAAATCATAATCATTATCGTAGTAAGAATTTTGGAGACTACGATTACTAGATGCCTTCTTGCAATGATTATAATAGCAATCCACTGAACCATCATAGTCGTAATCATCCATAGATAAAGATCGGAGCTTCTCGATGTAAGTTTGTGTAGTAGATTTGTTTAGTGTAAGACGCAAGTCATTCGTTAATTTATCATCTGTGCGACTTGCCAACAACATACGCTGGATACATATTTTTTGGTCATTCTGAAATGTATTCAAAAATTCTGATCGCATCCCATCATCACATATGCGATGATTATCCGCTCGACATACAGGTACACCGATTGTTTGGGATGTGATGGTGGCTGATTGGCTTGTAAGCGTCATCGTAGGCTCGCAGGTAGTCATTATAGGAATGTTGGCAGCCAACCTAACTTGCTTTCTCTTGTCAGATTCGTTAAATCGAGCGGTCTGAGACATTTCACACTTAATTCTAATTTTATCTTTTAACGTAGACTTAGATACAGACTTAATGGTAAAGTTAGATTGAAGATCAGAACCCACTGATTTACTATATTCGCTAATCTTATAACTAGTATTTAGACGCTTGTTAGACTTATTGTTATCCTGAAATGAAAGAGCACCAACAGTAAATATTGTTGCTTCGGTACGACTAATACCATCATTTTGAGACCCTAAGATCCTAACATTATTAGTAATTATACAACTAGTCTTGTAGCACACAGCGACGTCAACAATGTCTTCGATAACATCTGGATTATTGTTACTACTATTAATTTCATCTTCAATACTACTACCGATGCTAATGTTCTTCTTATAATATTCATTATCGTTATTATTATTACCCTTACGCTTTTTTAATAGTGGAACACATATGCGTTGCATCAGCTCGGTAACAGTGACATTAGATAATGGAGAAGTAAAAGATTGTACACGGAGTTGCTTGAGATTTTCCAGGAAAGATCGCGAGATGTGGTCAGTTACTTCGTTTTCAGAAACGATAAGCGTAATGGAAGAACTGGCGGTGAATATCGCTAAATTCTGTTCGCTTATTATTATTATGGGAACCGATATTAAATCGATGCCACCGAAATGCGATTTTAATAATAGGTTCCATAATTTATCGAGAGCTAACGTTAATCGAACAACGTTACAATTATCGTTAGACGTTTTGCAATAACGTCTCATTAGCAGTCTAGATGTCTCATGAGAATTGATAATAACCAGGGCACACTTATGACCTAGTAGTTTCCATCTCTTTGCAACATCCTTTATAATACCGAATTTCCGAGTAATAGCATCTATCTCGACAGGACCACCGCCAAGCAGGAAACAATGGTCACTGTTCCTGATTGAGCTGAGCAATATCACAGACTTGGAGTTATTATTATTACTTATTAAACTAAAATGAGCCTTAAACTTATTGTTGTCGCCTAGCTCAAGGCGGGACCCTAGTAAGGAGTAACTGTTGACAGAGTTAGGGAGGCATAGCAACCATTGGGGGCAATCAGACTTGGGTATCCTAACTAGGCTAGGTACCCCAACGGTGCAATACGCTTCACCCCGTGTAACTTGTAGATGTACATTTACGCTTAGTACCCTAACTCTTACATCTCTAAAGCTATCCTTATTATCACTTAATGTCTTAAAAGTAGACTTAGAGTTATTGGCGGAGCTGCCCAGCTGACCAAGCAAGCCCAGTGTGTTTTGCTTTCTGTACTTGTGATGATTATGTTCTGCATTGTTGTGGTTATTTACCTTATTATTATCGTAAGTTAGAAAGAGATTTGTTGGGTTTTTTGTGGTTACTGGCGCCACTGACTGGCAGGCCTTACCTATACCAGCTGAGCTTAACTCACCTGTAAAATAAAAATATTACAAATATAAATTTAATAAATTCTAATATGAATTAACTTTGTTGGCTGGGGTTATAATTTTTAATAAACGAATCGAACAATCTTAACAGTAACTACAGCTGATCCCATGAATCTCTTCAGCTTAACGAACATATAATCTTCAAAAAAATAAATAATGCATCTATACGATTTCAACGAAAAGACTAATTTCATGATAATCAAAGTGACGAAGTATATACACATGATAACAAACATAAAGTTACTTACTGGTTTGGCTTGGCAGGACGGTTGAAGAGTCATTGGCGGCGGTAGCTTTCGGATGGTCAGTACATACTGCCATCTTGTTGCTGTTTATGGATTCGATATCACAGTACCTAAAGGGCTCTGATCTTTCCCGTTCCCCCTCCCAATACAGACTGCTTTCCCCTAATACTACTTCATCCCCCTGAAATATTAACAAATAAATAAACAAAACTAATTAATAAAATTCAAGTAATTAACCCATTGCACTATAATAACAACGCATGAGAAACTAGTAATATGCTTTACAATTCAAACTTGGGAAATACAAGACCAAACTTGTGGCAAAATCTTATGGGTCCAACTTTGGGACACGCAGTTCATCAATGTATTAAATCATAATGCAAGGGATTAATATGTGATGATATAAAATAAAACTACTTACCATGGAATTTTGTACGAAGGCATTTGTTTCTGTAGAAATCTCATGTGAACTAGAATTGTGTGGAAACATTGGGCTCAGTTCTTCTTTGGCAGGCAATGCATAGAAACCAAGATCTGAATAAGAAAATTATTTCTCCGCATATAACGTTAGACAGATTAATATTTTAATCTCTTGTTTTCAACGTTGGTAGTTAAACTATTTAAACATTGAACGTTAAGGAAAAACAAGTAACTAATATCATACTAACCTCATAAATTATCACTATCAGTGCGCTCCCAGCTCCATGCCAGTAGAGATCTGCAATGAGTAATAAACTTATCTATATAAAAGTGATCTGATATACAACCTGACTGATATTATTAACCGACATAAGTAATCTAGTGATAAATTCAATAATAACAATGATCATCATAGTTATCGTTCAGATTTAAAAATGTACTACGATAATGTAATACAATAAAAAGTTCCCTTAACCTAGTTTTTTAAATGTTACATCCGATATGAAATCCCACAAATAAGTGTATATACATTGTCGATAGATTTATATTCGATATATTGTCGATAGATTATTATTCAAATAACCGCGCTCACCTAATTACCAATCTAATATATATATATAATAACGATTTCATAAATTCACAACTTAAAATAAACATTGCAGGAATAATTCATCTTAAGAAATAATAATTCACCACTTGTATGCTACAATCCATGTGTAAAAGTGCAATTAACGTATAAAAGTAAATTCCACGTGTACAAATAGAATGTGCATCTATTAACCAATAAGTTAGAAAAAATAAGGAAAAATTAAATAAATAATAATAATAATATTAATATTCTCGACTCAAGTATATATATAATATAGATATAAAATACACAAAAATTAACTTTATACAGACCATGACTATTTTTTGCCATTAACACTAACCAGGTCCTACCTCACAAACACTGGCCAAATACTGTTGGCCAACATAAGAATTCATAATTACAACATAAAACATATAGAAGCGAATGTGCATTTCGCTAACAAGTTCATTTCGGTTCCGCTCACAACTGCGCGCGTTTTCGATGGACACGTCGCACAAAAATTAAGTGAGAACAGAAAGATACCCCAAATGATGCGTTTATATATGCGTAGTAATAATAGTAGTAAAAAGCACCACTAGAGCTTCGTTAGTGCCACTGTTAGTAATAGTACTAGAATTACTAGGAGTCCTAAAAATACTAACAAGTCCTTGCACTTTCGAGAATATTAGTATTAATAGTAGTGTAGTAATAAATATTACTAATAGTAATAATACTAGACTCAATAGGAATCATAGCAGTACGAATAGTTACTAGCAGTTTAAACAATATTAATAATAGTAGTAATAATAACCCAAACAAAACTAAAATCCTATAATAATAAATAGGTATACGTATACATAAAATATCATCTGGAAAGAGAGAGGAAGAGACATGTAAGATTTGGACATGTTAAATTGTAACTATGACGCGTCATGGATACCTTTAAATTTATTAACAAGAAGAAAAAGTTAATAAAAAATAGACGCTATAGATGACTTACTTAGCTTCGAGAGCCCACGAAGAACAAAATCAGTCTACGCGAAGCTTATTTTTGTTTTAAACGCACAGAAAAGCGGAGCGCGTATTAAAGCTCGCTAGTGGTTCTTACTATGAACGACCATCCTCCCCTGGCGTACGGGAGCGATCTGCTGCACAACTATTGCGTTCACATTCGTGCAGAAACGCCAGAGACTACCGAAGATCCTTCACATTGACGCAACACGGTACCACCAGCAGCACCACCACTACCACCACCACCATTAGCAGCAGCAGCAGCAACACTAGCACCACACACGACTACGATGACAACGACGACGACGACGACGACGACGACGATGACGACGACGACGACAACGGCTACGACACAGAGAGTACCCAGTGGCGACACCCGCAGCGACACCCGTGGTGCCGACGGTCATTGAAAACCGGGAAAATCTAACGATACTATTTATAGGAGGAGGAGGAGGAAGGAAGGGGTTAGGAGGTGGTGATGGTGGTGGAGTGGGGAGAGAGGTGAAGGTGGTACCAACAACGGTGGGTACGATCGACAAGGGAAATGATCGTTTTAATGCAAACACGATATTTTTTGATTGATCTTTAGAGATGCATACAATAATTATTTTAAATTCAATTTTAATCGAATCGATTGAAGATACTTTAGATTTTAATATTTAATTATTCTTACCTACGTTCTTTCTAATGAATAAGAATAAGAATAAGGATAAAACGGGAGGAGGCTATTTGTACGTCTCTTGGATATTCGCAGCGGCCATTTTTGAATTTCACAAGAGTATAATATACATTACATATACACTCTTTTCTCATAGGATAAATCATATTATTTACTTTACTTTACTTTGAGAACACGCGTTTTATACGCGATCAATGTTTTTCAATTTTAAAGTAAAAATCCGTCTTGTTTTCTTTTCAAATTTATATATCTACAAAAAATTAAGTATTATTATTATCATCATTATATTAATTATCAAAATACGCAATAATTTATAATAAGAATATGATCTCATATATCATTGTAATAAGTGAATTGTTCAAATCGATATTTAAAATATTCTATTCGTTTCTTACTTATACTAATAGAACTCCATATTATTATTCATATTTTTAAATTTATAAATTGACTCTCGTAGTTTCTTGCGCATTCAAAAAAAGAATATCAATGATAATTCGATTACAACGTTTTCATATAAAATTAATTCATTAAATATAGCCGATAAACAAAAAGAAAGAAATAAAAAAATATAGAAAAAAGGTTGGAAGCTTGAATTTTCGCTATTTCTTCGTTCTTATGGAACAGGAACGCATGCAATCTTCTAACTCGTCGTGTCGGTCGACTCCTCTCTCTTTCTCTCTTTCTTTCTCACTGATTCTCTGTCTCCCTCTTACTCGACATCAGCGAATCAGCCAATCGGCGATTCGCTGCGCCGTGCCGCCTTTCGATTCCACGCAAACGACGACGACGACACAACACTACTACACTAATAACTACTACACAGCTAAACTACTACACTACTACTACACTACTACTACATTACTACTACTACTACTACTATTATTACTTACTACGCGACAAAGAAACCGATCTTTTTCGTACGTTCCAAAAAAATCTCAAACCCTTCAACCTTCCCCCCACCCCTCCGCACCCAATTCCACCTATTACTCCCCATCTCTTCTTTCTATTTCTCTAGGAAAAACGTTGCTTTCAAAAGAATGAAGTAGTAGTACGGTTGGTGCGCCGTAAAGCCTGTATTTTAAATGCGACATTTGCGAGTATCAGAAATTATTGATCTGCCAGATACGCGTGCGTATATGTGTGTGTGTGTGTGTGTATGTGTGCGCGCGCGCGCGGGAGAGAGAGACTGAGAAAGAGTAAGATATGTATATATATATATACATACCTAGTATGTAAGTGTTTTTATGTGAGTGAGAGTGCACGTGCACACCCGCACGCACACACACAAGTGAAAAAGAAAGAGAGAGAGAGAACCTTCGCACGTATATACGTGGCAGCAGCTAGGAGGCAGCAAACGCGCCTCGCTGTTCCCTCTGGCGCACGTCTGCCCTTTTATAACTTCGCGGATAGTCTTCCTTTCTCCCTTTTCCTAGTCCGAATTAAAAATTTTTTTATATCCTAGAGAGACTAAAATTTGATTCCTTTTAAATTTATTAATTTTTTCTGTGTGCTTTTTTTTCTTTTCTTTTCTTTTTTCTTCTCAATTAAATAAAGTACACCATCTTTGATAGATTAATCATCCAAATTATATATGCGACACATAATCCCCTCCCTCCCGCCCCACCCACACCCACAATTTATACGATATATCTTTTATTTTTTCTTTCGATGATCATCATGTTGTATTCCAATTGTATTCCGATATATTATGCATAGGAAGATAATAAAGAATTGCAAAAATATTCTACGAATTCCGAACAGTTAATAGCTGCTTTCAAAGATTAACCACAAAATCTAATTGACCTTCTTTTATTCTCCCGAACACAATCGATGCAATTAATAATATCCCCGGTGTTGTATATGTTTGATTAATTACTGAGTAATTAATCCACTTAAATGTTTATCCTAAATTATTATCGATAAGTATTAAATTCGCAAAAAAAAAAAAAAAAGATATGGATTTGAACTCATGCGGAAATAATATGCCACGCATATCATATTTTATGATCGGAATATATATGACGTGGTAGTGTATAGGTTATAATATATATATATACATATATATGATGGAAGTGAATCGATGCATCTGCGAAGGCAGCGATCTATTATGAACGCAACCTGTCAATTACGAAGAGAGCGGAAGTTCAGGAAGGTGTATTATCTAACTCGGTGCAAGCATCTCGTACGGAAGTGTTTCCCCCACCAAAACTTAGTTCTTCATTTTTTTTTCTCCTCCTCCTCCTCTTCCTCCTCCGCCATTTTCTTTTCTATATTAATTTTATCCTTTCATCTCGAGATATATATTAAAAAAATATATATATATATATATATATAGCTGAATTAGTGTTTTAAATAAAGAGACAACAAACGTCAGAGTTTAGGTATGCAAGAATGAAAAGATGCAACACGATGTTGTTGCTGTTGCGGCTTCTCTTGTGCTTAGCCAGCGTTCCGGTAATGTATCGGGTGTGTTCGTTTCAAGGACGATACAAACAACGGTACCTACTCGGTTTCCAGATGAAAACGAGAGAAAGAGAAGAAGAAAAACAAAATAAAAAGAAAGAGAGAGAGAGGAATTCGCAAAATTTTTCCAAGTGAATTCTCATTTGGTATAGGAAGAAACAAAAAAGAAACCGTGGATAATTCTTTTGTTTAAGGTGTCGTAAAGTTTGAAGAGATCAGTTTCTCAGGAATACGCAGAGTGTTGTTTCTTGGCGCGTATCGTATACTATTCTTAACGTTAAGTTGCATCGACGATGATGAAGAAGAAGAAGAAGAAGAAGAAGAAGAAGAAGAAGAAGAAGAAGAAGAAGAAGAAGAGAAGAAGAGGAAGAAGAAAGACTAAGGTTTGCTTTGTATTTACCTTGGTAAGCGTGGCGAAGTAAGAGAGAAAAAAAGAAAGATGTAAATACTATCGTACGGAGGACACGGGCTACGTTCAAGCTCCAAGATGCTGTCGTTTATGACGCGGGAAAACCTGCGTGACCAGATAGTCTATCTCTTCACCGTGAAGGAGTTCAATTGCCCGAGGAACGACAGA